TATATATATATATATATATATATATATATATTTGATCTGATCTCCGATATCAGCTTTTTAGTTCGAGTAATTTGGTTGTTGTGGTAAATGGTTGAATTAGAAGCAGAGACTAAAATGAAAGAAGAATCATACAGAGACAAAGTGAGAGTGTTCTTCCATTTGCAGCTAATGGAACAAACCATCACCTGATAACATGAACTAGAATCAACATAGATCAGAAGAACATAGACTAAAAATGAAAGAAGAAATCAAGAAGATAAGTGAGAATTATCTCCTTCCTTTTTCAGCTAATAAAACAAACCATCAGCATCTTCAGTCAATCTGATGATAACATGCCCAGAAAAGGGACAAGTGAATTAGATTACACACCAAAACATCTTTTAAGATGTAACATCTATGTCCATCTGATCAGAGACCTTCCAAGGGACCTTTGTCACTTGATCTGCATTGGTTCATCCTTCACAAGTACTAAGCTGCTGGCAGAGAGCCATGGAACTATTTCTTTGGACTTACTGTAGCATACTTCAGAATCAGATTGGCACTTGCAAAGAAGCTGATGCTTTTACTGATTGACCATTTGCTTGATCGAGGAAATCGAGCCGATGAAGGAGCTTACTAGTCCGATCACGATAATTAGAACACATACTGAAGCCTGAACAGAGAAATATATGATCAGTCCAACCACACACCATTGCCTATGAGCCATCTAATGAATGATGCCAAGGTACTAACCACTGGCACTCAAGTCTCCTTCAATCAAATCATGCATTCCATGTGAAGATAATTGACTAGGATTCAAGAAAACGTCCCAAAAAATGAAATAGCACATGCTTTTTGTACCTCAATTATCTTCATATGGAATGCATGATTTGTAGACGACTATTAGCTTATATGTGATACGGTAGACGACTATATTTTACCTGTATAAAATCCACAGATCTGCGCTTGATGCTGAGGTAGCACGAACAGGGTAAAATGAGAGCCTACATGGCATTGATGGTGCGGTGCAAATTAGTAAAACTCTCTTGGAAGAACAAAATATTAACCTCAATGGAAACTTACCACTAGCATTGTGAAAACAGATCCAAGCAGTGCCATCACATATCCTGCAGTCAAAATGAACTATGATTAAGCCTTTCCTAGCAAATTGATAGAGCATTGCAAGTCCAGAAATGTGCGATCAGAAGCAGTCGAGAGTACTCAAATCTCAAAGAAATCAAAACTCTCCTAGAAATGACCTGAAACTAGATTGTTATTTTGCATATATACCACAAGATGATGTGACTGAAATGGTTTCTTGGTTTGCACTATTCAAATATATTGCAAATTTGTAACTAAGATTTTATGTAAAAGGACTCTCACCAAAGAATGGCAGCGTAAGTGCCACAACCAATGTGGAGAGAACCAGAAATGTTCTGAGCGAGAGCATGACTATATTGGATTGACTAGTTGAAGGCAGCAGCTCTTCCAGACTCAGCGCGACTGGAGTCATAGTCAATGCATATTTTGAGAGTGGATTTATAACCTACAATTCATAGACCAATACGGTTGTCAGTAGAAAAGTAATTAATTAAGAGATATAAATCCTTGGATCTGCTTCATTTACTTATCAAGATCTGGAAATCAAACAGTTTCATAATTTGCAGATTGATTATTAGAATTAGAACAATAATTATATGAAATGATTCATGTAATAGTATTGCCATACCGTAGTCCATACTGCAACCTTTGAAGCCAAATATTGGCGAGGCATGTTTAGTGTAAACTGAGACTTAAGAGAATCACCAAACATCAGATACCCTGCCACAGCTACCGCAGAATACATAATCGTGCACAACACGAAGCTGCATGTAAAATATGCTTTTAGCACAAGTATAACTATTAGTCAGTGAAGATAATAATAATATCTGACAAGAACACTGATTGAAGAGTAGGATCCTCTATAACGATCTAACGGCAACAGTGATGTAGGATCGCCATCGGGAAAGTTCACAAAAATATAAAGTTTCTCTGATAACATAATTTTATGAGTTTTGTATGCTGGAGATGAGCATGCGATCCTGTTACAGTAACCTGACAAAAAATTTGAACCAGTTGTTTCCATCTTAGCAATAAGCGAGTTAATCCTATCAGGCCCAAAGAGGAACCATATTAGAGAGTTCTAATTTCAATGGAGGGATGCGAATCCAATCCCGGTTGTTGTTATTTACTATAATTCATGATCCTCAATGATGGCTCAGTGAAAAAATGGAATGAGTTCCGAGGTAAGTACTACCTCAAAATTAAACATGTAATTCTGAAGATACAACTTGAAAATGTATGCACATTCTTCATAAAACAATGATATTTGAGAATGGTAATGATTTCTATTGCTGTACCAGATTATGAGGACAGTCGGAAATTGAGATGGTCTCTTCATGGAAGAATATATATTTGGGAAAACCGAATGCCCAGAGTAGCCAAAACCATATAATCCAAGAGCAACAGGAAGATCCACCAGATTTAGTGCCCTTCCACCCGGATGGAATCCTATTTGATCTACCACACCCCCCCAGAGCAAGCAGATTATGACCAATATCGTCGCAACCACCCCAGCAGCTGACACAAAAAAAGATGAATACCTCTGGTTCAGGTTCACTAGAACATATTGAGCAGTTGTTAGTGAGTTCGGTGAGTTTGCCAAATGCATCACCTGAAAGGTAAGATAGCACACTCAGGTTCTTCAGCCAAACAGTCGGAAGAACTGCGATGGCTGTTGTCAGAGCAAAGAGCTGGTGAGGGCTTAAATCAAGTCCCAAGAAACTTATGCTGGCATCTGGGAATATGAATGTCAAGCTATCACTCACTAGAATTATGTACTCCACACAACACCCCTGTAGAGGCAGCAGTCAGAGTGAATGCTACTTACCGAAAAGTGGTACAAGCACAAGACAAAATTTGCAAACCGAGCTAATAATTCTCAAAGATTTTAACTTACATAAAGTTCCAGGTAGAGTACTATCTGCATCAAAATCAAAATTGTGTGTGTCAGAATTGGATGATCATTGAACAGAACATGTTATGGGGTGCATGAACAGATGGATAGTTGCTTGAAAACTTACTGATATAAATATGCGGCCAGACAGGCCGAATGCCGCATGTCCAATATCAGGATAAGTCTTAAGTCCGGGAAAGCTATCCAAACATCTCTTTAGCAAAATACCAGTGTAGAATGAGATGGAAGCCAGACAAAACAGCAAAAGCATGCCCAGCCATCCGCCTTCTTTGACTGCATACGGTGTCGATAGCAGTCCCACTCCACACAGAACATTAATTCCTGATGATTAACAATATTTTAGCAACTGAATCACAAATCACACACACACAAATCATGTTTTTTGTATCATGAAAATTATCCTAATGAACTAAGGCACAGACAGAACTCCACCTACAATGCTTTAGTTTAACAAATGTGTTTAGACTTTAGACAATGTATGTTCCAATCTGGTTTTCTTAGTAACACCTAACAAATTCATGAGACTGAATTTTAACAAGGAGCCTAAGAAAGATGAGTTCTTTGGCTGGATGGAATGGTATGAACAGTAGAAACTTAATTAGCTCATTTTAGTTTTTATGAGCATCCTGCACAATTGGAGCTTATGCAACTGATAAATTTCGTTCAATAGTAACCTCGAATAAGATTCTAGAGAAAGAGAAGAAGAAACATGTTTAGAATGCATGAACAAATAGGAAATTTGGTACATTTAAGCTGCAATTCTTAAAAGTTGAATAAACTGCCCAGTAAAAGCAGAAAGAGGAAAAGGATGGTGGAGTGCATCGACTTAATGATACCATTGACCACTGCTTGAGCAGCAGAGCATTGATGTGGTGGAGGCAATTCACAGTAAGAAGCAAAAGCAAAGGAGCTTTTCATTGGAACATCGGGAGGGGGAATTGCCTCAGCTCCATCGTGGCCTGTCACCGAATCATAGGACACGAAGGGTTTGGTAAAGGATAGCTCGTCTTCGTGGGTGGAAACCATCGAAGCCCTCAGGAATGAGCTGCCCACGCGGACCAAACTGGATCCTGCCAAGAACCCAACTCTCGGAGATGGCACGCTGCTAAATACGTCGATCGATGGCCTGCAAATTACAATCACCAAACCCATCACGGTTCCCCATTTGCGACTCTGTTCTTCCTCATTGGATTCCGGGAGAGGAGTACCTGTAGCTCTGGGGCCAGGTGGTCTGATAAGAACTGGGATCTCCCCCAATGTGATCGCCGTAAGAGGACGCCGAGGAGGGCGAGGAAGACGATGGGGAGCAGTCGGATCCACCGTGCTGGTGGGCGAGGTTGTCCTCGTCGTCCGTCTCGAACACCACGCCCCTGTCGGGCCCCATCTCTTCGTCCGTCTTCATCGGCTCCCTCCTCTCTCTCTCTCTCTCTCTCTCTCTCTCTCTCTCTCCGTTCCCAAACTCCTCAAACTCGAATCTGTATGCTTCTCCAGGCAGATGGTGGAATCTTCCT